CACACACACACACCTCGCCCATGACTCCAAATGACTCCATGACTAGCAAAATGGACGAGACCGAAGCGGTAGGTGGTTCTTAAAGAGACAGAGGCCAATTTCATTGCATTTAGAAGAGGAAGTGGTGACAAGATGAGTTTATTTTCTATTTAACAATAAAAACAGCATTTTAATAACAACTAAACGTGACATAGATACTTTATTATGGTATAGTATTTAAATGTATGCCTGAGAAACACATAATATTATTGCCCCTTTAAGATCTTCAAACCTTTCTGAGGCCTCTTGGTTTAAAATCTGATTTATTGTTTACAACAGCACAAAAGTGCTCCTGATCAATCCGCCCTTTCTGTAAATAATAGGCTCGAGAAGAAACAAAAGATCAAATTAACTTTTTCACTCAGCATCATATAAATTATTTAATTCAATAAGTAGGAAAATTTTATTTAGATCCCAAATCTTGCCTTCCTGATTCTGAGTCAGGAAGGATTATTTGGCTGTGTTGATTTTAATAAACGGCTCACATTTTTCACATCATACATGAATAAATCCGGTCATCGCAGCTGTTCTGTTTGTGAGGCGGCAGAAAGAAATCTGAGCTAACTTCTAACAAGTGACACCCAAAACATAATCCACTTCATTACTCATGTATAGACGGCGGTCCTCAGCTCATTAGTGGTCTTGTGGTTTGTTTTGATGGTGCAAGCCTCCGCTGCTCTGTGTCACTCTTTTTACTTCCTAACAAACCATCCTACGTCGGTCGTCCTCCTAATTATGTTTTACTTTTATGAATATATAATCTCCAGTAAGTTCCGAGTCTGCTCGGTTGTGTCCTGAGGTGTCCAGAGGCATCCCGATCAGATGTTCAGACCACCTCAGCTGGCCAAACTCCTCCTGGATGTGCGCAGGTCAGTGGATGAAAGGATTAGAGGTTCTCTCAGAGTAAACAGCAGCACCACAGAGCTCACCTCAGCTCAGCGGAGGAAAGAATAAATTTGTACACTCGGGTTTATAAATTATGCTCTTTGATTTGGAATCCACGCACGCGGATATACTGTCTGTGCAATACGATGGGACGGGTTTTTTCGTTTCACTTTGCTGTGCAATTCTGTAAAGCTCATTTAAAAAAACCTTTCTCTGACAGCAGACCCGTCAGCTGTCAGAGTTTAGTTTCAACTCAGTTCATTTTAAATCTGAGCTGATGCTAAATCAGTACCTGGTACTGGGTAGCACCCAAAACGGAAAAATGTAAAAAAAAAAAAAAAAAAGAGAAAAAAGTAGTGAAAAGGGGTCAGCAGAAGAATGTGAGGAATGCTGAGGTCAGTCAGGTTACATAGAGCAGATCTCCGTCTGCCAGGCAGCGTGGTGAGAGCTGAAAACCCTCTGAGGCACAGCGACGTCTTTCTGGAATGAGGTTCTGGGTTTGTTTATTATTATTTTAATGGTAATCATTTGGAACTAAAATAAGCGGAGGCGTGTGTTGCAGAACTGTGGCCTAATTTGGGTTTTAAACCAAGTAGCAGAAATGTCAGGTTGGGAATAATTAAAGGGATTTATTAAACTGTTGAACTTTATGTTCTCTCTGTGTTACATGTTTGTTTATTTGGGGGGAAAACAGGAGCTTTTTTGTGTTTACAAATTTATGAAAGATGAAGTATTCATAAAGTTGGAATGTAACAGGAAAAGTAAAAGGAAAGTAGACACATCCTGCTTTTAAATCCTTCTATCCTGCTTGTTTTACTTGTTTCTCTGCTCTAACACACCTGAATTGAATGAAGCGGTGATTAACAGGCTTTTGCAGAACTTGATGAGGTAATTCAATCACTGTATCAGGTGTGTTGGAGCAGGAAAACAAGTAAAACCTGCAGGATAAAGGCCCATGAGGACCTGGGGTCGGATTTATAAAACTGGCGTACGCACAATTTGAGCCCAGAAACGTGCGTACGCCACTTTTTACGCCAAGGTTGTGATTTATAAAATCCAAACTTGACGTGAAAATGTGTGGTGCCTCACGCCAGCTCTGACCCATGTGTACGCTCATTTTGGAGACGTGAAACTGCGACACAGATGGTGAAGTGAGGAACTAGAGCCACACTGCATCAAGATCACTGTCAGATATTTAATTTACCTTCAGAATCAGACTTAGATTTTTATTCAACTTTATCATCAGCTTTCTTAACAGTAATGTTTATGCTGCTGCTGAGACATGAGGACCTTTGAAATAAAAAAAACTTAAATCTTAAATAAAAGTTCCCGTGCACAAATCCCTTCATCTGCTTCCTCCTCAGACGACCCTGACACACAGACCCCTCCCCGATAAGAACAGCACGACAGCAAAAGCTTTGGAGACACGCGCAGGGCGCATCCACCTCACCAGTGTGAATGTTATAAACCTTCACGTTTAAAGTCTGTTTGTCACGCTCGCGCACGGGGGGATGCGTGCGTGCGCGGGGGGATGTCTGCCGCGGATAACAGCAGGCAGGAGGGGGAGAGGACGAGGAGAAGAGCGGTGGACTTATTTCTAATTTTATCTGACTTATTTAACTTAATTTTTATTGTTTTTATCGTCCTGCAGGCTCTGAGGGAAAATTAATTTATAGCTGAGGGTTTTTTAAAAATTTTTATAAAAATCGTTAGATTGCTCTAAAGCAAAATGAGGTAAAATCTGTGTCAGTTACAGACATTCTGTTCACGTGGGCAGCTGTCAGTCAGCATCAACCTCCAGACACACGACGGAGCGTGTCTGAACCAATCACTTTTGTTGGCATTGATCAGCTGACTGATTTAAATACATCTTAACATTCATGAGATACTTTGCATTGACTGTTTATGGTTGAATGTGGGCTTGTAGAGGGTAGAACCTGAGGCGGGACCTCGTGCGCAAACTCTGACGTGCGGCTGTGATTTATAAAAGGAAAGGTGCGCAGAAACGTGCGTACGTACGGTTTTATAAATCTGAATTTTTTTTGGCGTACGCCATTTCCGCCTTTTGGCCGTACGTTCACTTTTAGTATGGTTTCCACGCAATCCTTTATAAATGAGACCCCAGGACTGCTCACTCCTGGTCCATATAAGGTGGAACTGCAATGTTTTGGTCAGAATTCCTCATCATTGCCCCTCTTTCACCCCTTTTCTGAGGTGTGTCTCGGATCAACTCGTTTTGAGGCTGTCTCTTTAAATCCAAATGAGGTGCTTCAACACCCTCATTTAGAAGTTCTGTCACAAATTCTGTGATGTAACAGTTCAGAAAACATCTTAGAAAATGAGAAAACTGAACGAGTTGAAAATACGACTCAAACATTATATAAAGATATCTACACAGACTAAATTCAAATTTTCTGCACTCCTAGAGCCTCCAAGTCCACAACAGAATGCATTAAACGACAAAAAAAAGGTGGATTTAGCATGAAACGTCCCCTTTAAGCTAACGTAACCAACGTAAAAATGATTGTCTGCTCCTGTAATTTAGATTTTGCAGACAAAGATGTCCCAGGAAATTTATAAGTGCCTACTTTGCTTTTACTGATCTATTGAGTGTGGACTGTTTATTCTTATTATTTTGCACATGATAGTGTGATTACAAGTCCCAGGGAGCACTGCACGTCATATAAAATACCTTCATAAAGCTTTTGTGGCTCCACAGGGAGCTGTAGAAAATCTGAAACTGTATCAAGTCAGCCCATGTGGACTGAAGTGTAAAAAATAAATAAATAAAATAAAGTCACGGTGAGCTTTATGCAAACATCAGCAAGCAGCAGCATCTTTACCACAGTTAACCTGGCATGAATCCCAATATACAGTAAATCCCTTTCGACCAGCAGGTCAGCAAACTGTTCAAACCACTGGCAATGAAAACAGAAAATAATAAATGGCTTGATTGCGGAACTTGATGGAAAAATATCTCAATTACTTTTTAACTGGAGGAGAAAACAAATACGTTGACCTTGTGCTGTTGCCAGAATAAAAAAAAAAAACAAGTCCAAGGGATTGTTTGTGCACAATTTAAGTCTGAACAACAGAGGTGCACCAACAAAACTTTGGCCCCTCAGTGGCATCACTGGTAAACTGTGCTGCTTCATCTCGTTTCTCCCGTCAGTCACAGACGTTCCCCTGTGTCACAGTCTGACATGACTCAGCAGTTTAACTGAGACAAACATTCCTCTGCAAAAATAAAAATAAAAAAAACATTCTGCCTTCCCAATTGACCTTCTGGAACAACTTTTTTTAATCTGTGCAGCTAAAAGTTGTTCATCATTGCTCCAGCACATCAAAACGAGTACACGATTAATCAAACGTAACTTCCAACCAGTTGCAGATTTTCTCTTCTCTGCCAGTGATTTTATTCTAGCAGCTCATGTTTGTTTCATCATTCTCAAACGAAGATTAACCGGAACCATAAAGCGAAGAGACAAGCAGCTCAAACAGACAATCTGTTGTAAGATTTTAAGGCTTAACAAGGATTTTTTTTAAATACTATCATACTGTCACTGTCTCCATCCAGTCATCCATCACTGCTTTTCCATATTGGAACTAAATCTCTGCTACATTCTGTATAAAATACTTCATTTAGGTCTTTGCGTTTAATTTTCTAAAAACTATATGTAATTTCAAACAGTTCTGTTGTGCCCTGCTTATATATTTTAATGCACTACAGTGCTGAACTACATAAGTGTAGGGACCATTTTATTTATTACATCAAAGAAACAAACTGACATCAACACTAAGAGTTTAGTGAATAAAAGTCTTTAAAAGTTTCTTTTTCCATGCATTCTTTCTAATATTTGTTAAAATAAAAAAAGCCTGCAGCATCAATATTTAATGGCTGCTGTTCTGTTATATTTAATGATTTAATGTAACAGCATCTGGGACTGAGCTATGTTAAACATTTGGGGTTCAGTGTTAGTTTTCTGAGCTTTTGTTCTGAAAATCGGAATGGTAGCAGCAAAATGAGAGAGGCTCGTTTTTTTTAAAACCTGTAATCCATGTTTTATTGATTCTGTGAGGAAAATGTGCATTAATAATTCCTGATTTAATCCTATTTCTTCTTAGCGCTTTTTGAAATAACATGAAAGTGACTAACAATCACCGCGAAACAACTTGTGCACCTGCAGAGCACTTTTAATCAAACAGTTGATTTGTCTCTAAAAAGGTTTATAATCACTCTCTAGTGTCTGATTAGCTCAAAAGGCTTTACAGCCTCACGAGACTCGGCTGCAGTGAACGTAAACTGTACAGACTGAATCCATAATGATGATCATCACATTTTTTTTCCTTTTAATATTTTACTCAGCACATTTTTTTTTATTTGTTGCACCTGTGTGTGGAGAAGCGTTTGCGTGTCTGCATCGCATCAAATAATCTTCTCAGTGAGGATGAAGGAATGGAACTGTGCTTGATTTAGTTTTATAACTTAAGATTCAAGTTTGAATGAAATGTTCAATATTGTTTCTCACACTTAAAGCACAAGAGTCTAACCTTTGGAGTCCAGCCGGTGACATTGGATAAAAACAAAATAATCCTTAATGCATGGCCACAAGATGGTTCATTTGTGTCCTCAAGATAATTATTGCAGTCATTTCAATGCTGTTGATTGTTTACATGGATATGTTTGAATTAATTTCATTTTAATATAGGAATGAGTACAGTACTTCAGTCATTTGCAGTTAGGCATGAAGTAATTCTTAGCATTACAAGTTTCAGCTATAAGACAGATAACTGGGTTTGTCTGTCTTTGTCCAAACAGATTAATTTTTTTAAAGCCCAACACTCTCACCCCACGCCTTGGCTGCAGAAAGAGTTGAAGCTATGTTACGTTCAGGAACCCAGTAAAAATTGGTTTCCTAACACACACCTAGAGTGTATTGTGTCATCTTGTAAATAATAGCACTATGAAAAATGAACCATTTAAATTGAACCATAGAGGTACACTCTTTGGATTAAACATACACCAAAAAATAAATAACTGTGGGGTACCTTTTGAACAGTAAAAACAAAAGTATTAAAGTACATGAGTTGACTCATGTCCACGCATTTTTCTTTTTAATCCAATGTCACCAGATTGGCTCTGTACTAAGCAGAATTTACATCTGGTTAAAAAAAAATCAGACAATGCATTGATGCAATTGAATGTGAAGATAAAAATGAAATCTGTATGCAATCAGGGGTCTGTTAAGTCTGCTTTTTTTCCCTTTTTTTGTTTTCTTTGCAAATGCTCTAATATTCCAAAGGTCTGACCACTGGTTGGACTGGTTGGGATATCCACTATCCACATGAATGTTTCCCACTTGTTATTAATCTCTATGCACTGATTGATTCTAAATAAACTTAAGATGGTCTTACAACTCAACCGAGGCTAATAGGAAGCAATAAGAGAGAATTTGCATTAATTGCTGATTCACATGACAAAACATTTGCTGCTCTTTTGCAAAAAAAAAAAGGATTATGCCTGTCATCTGAAGGCTCATGTTCTGTATTTGTACATTAAATGTTTATAGAACAAATTTATTCTTATTATATCCTGCAAGACATTAAATGCTATGTCAGCACTATTTTCATGTAAAGGAAAAGCTTTGAACTGTAAAACCTAAAATCGTTTAGCCTCATTTGAGCAGCTTCTCACCAGCGTGGCTCCCTGCGAGTCCTGCTGGTTGACTTCCTCTCCTCGTCTCAGCAGCTCCTGTATGTCTTCTATCATCCTCCTCTCTGTGGACGCCCGCGTCTCGTTGATCATCTCCTGGGTGATGCCTGACAAACACGCAGGCAGAACGAATATTAATCGCCCCGCAGATTTTTATTTATTTATTTTCCCTTCCTGACAGCAACAGCTAGTTTGTGTTGAACTGCAGCTGAAGCAGACAGCAACGTTTGATGGGGTTTGATGAAGCTGCAATGAGCAATTCCTATGATTGACAGCGATTTTTTTTCTTGACTTACCCTGGATATTTTCTATAATGAAAGAAAATATGTTGCAAGGTAAATAAAAACAGGTTGCGATGAGAGAAGCAGACTTTTGTGTTACACTAAAACAGCTGCAAGTTTAGAAAACTTCCATGTTTATACAGTACTTTGAATAAAATAACAGTAGTACCAAGGAAGCTCGCTTTAAGAGTATTTTAAATGTAAAATCCTCAAACGTAGACAGTTGGAAATAAAAGCGCAGCGTTTAAATATTTATAAGAGACTGTCTTTTTAAAAACCAATCAAATCTTGTTTCATGTTGTGCAGGAGAGAATCCCCTGAAACCGACACTCTTTCTTGAAACAAATGGAGAAAGCAGACGAGTTTCACCTGCCCGTGCATATTTTATCCTCGCGATTTCAGCTCTACAACCTTTCTCGTGACATGAATGTCTAAATCTGCCCACTCATCCAAGTCCTCCACCTTCGAGCCTTAAGTTAAAACTTCGCTTTTGTGTCACGCTCTTGAATAAAGCAGGAGCCCACGAGTGTCGGTCGGTGATTGCGCTGAAGGGGGAACTGAATTTGCAATCAGGGCTTTAGACAGAAGATGTTTACGGGAGGGGGTGGGGGAGCACAGGAATCGAGGCCTTTTGTCGCTTTCGGTCATCTTTATGTCAATTTTTCATTTTGTGATTCCTGTGACTCCTGATAGAAAAGCGACAATTTCTCTGCACTGATGTCAGAAATGTTACCAGCTTCTGAACATTACTCACCTTCAAAGGTTATAAAACATGAGCTTTTCTGATAGAGAACAGACTTAATATTGTAAAAGCATCTAATGTAGTTCTATTACGGGAATTATCTGTGGTTTTGGTGTGTAACAGTCAACAAGTTTGAATCAAATTTGTCAAAAAGTCTCAATAATCTAAGGCTAAGCTCACACTGCAGGTCTTAATGCTCAACTAGATTTTTTTTGCGTGGACACATATTTGAAATGAAACTTCCATCAGACTCCAGTGTGAACTCTCCACAGCACCGACGTGCAGGAAAGGACGTGACGTCACTGGACGTGTTTCCATCGTTTTTTTTTATCCGCAGTTTGAAGTATCGCTTTAGAAAAGGTGAATGGAAACGGCACGATTCGAAAAAACTTCCTCTGTTTCGCAAAGTTAACGCTCGCTTGAGGTGGTTTTTGGATTTTTCGAAAAAGAGTTAATGCGCAAAAGGGGAGACGGAAACAGATTTGAAAATAAGTCCTGACGTAGCAAACATTTACCTCGATCAGCTCTTCTTGATGGAAAGTTGAAAGAAAAACAGACAAAACAACTGGACTCCTGTTCTGTAGCTGAAGATGTGAGAAGTTAGATTTAAACAGCGTGACTCGAGGTTAGCGTCATTATTATTACTTTGATCGATCCGTGTGCCCCCACCTCACTGATGAAGTCGTATGTAATGTGACACGAGCGTTCAAACTGTAGTCACTTGGAAAAACATCAGATTTAGAACCACGAACTGAAAAGGTTTGGGTTAGAATAGAAAAAATTGCACTGAGGCAAAATAATAATAATATTAATAATTATAATAATAATCTGATTTGTGTTGCGTTTGCCCAGTGTGAATGTCACCTTTTATACTATAATACAGTGGTTCCCAAACTTTTTATCTACTGACCCACAAAATATTCATGGCAAAAACTTGTGACCCCAAATATTACTGGTCTGAGTTCAGAAACTTTGTTAATAACCCCAAAAACAAAGGCTACACAAATATAAATGCTTATTTATACTTGTTTTGTGTTTTTGTAATAATTATGGGGAAAATATTACATCACCAATTATTTGATTACACGTTAAATTGATTTCTGAAGTGCAGTGGTTCCAAAACGTTTCAGCTTTTGACCCACAAAATAACAGTAGCAGAGACCTGTGCCCACAACTATTTTTGGATGATAAACATTTGTATCAAGTCAACAAAACATGGGCATAGTAACAATATTTATTATTCTACATTTATATATTTTAGGCAACTAAGGCAAAAATGTAATTAATTTAGAAAATCTTTTCAGGACCCCACCTTGATGTTTCAGGACCCCACTTTGGGTCCTGACCCCAACTTTGGGAACCACTGCCAGTGGCATTTTCTTTATTGCTTATTTATGAGTTCAGCATCAATTTGGATCTGAATATAAATAGATGAACGGGCAACATCAGCACCGTCACAAACCTGCAGTTTCAGTGTTTTAATAACTTAGCAGACACCAGTTTTTTACAATAAGACCAGTTTTTTACAATAAGAACACTGAAACAGTGATTCAACAGATGTCTGTATGAGAAAAAATACATAATTTGTTGCTTTAGCTTTTATATACAATTATAAGAGTTAATGGGTTTATATAGCTTATAATCTCTCCATTAGCATCATGTTTAATGTCAGTAGCTTGACTGGTGTTGGAGTATTTCACCCCACAGTTCCAGGTAGACTGATCTGCTCTTTATCACTGCGGCTCATCGCAGATCCACCTGGCTCTACATGAGAGGATCAAGGCAGAGTGAGATCAGTCGATGCTGCATATTAAATGTTTTGTGTGTGTGTGTGTGTCAGTGTGTGTGTGAGGGACAAGCTGCCTGTGTGCTTTTCCCCGCAGCATCTCTGGAGATCGAAGTCTCATCCCCCGCCACAATGCTGAGAACATTACCAGAGCAATTAGCAATGCTGCGCTCCCCTTTGATCAGCTTAATAATCATTCTTCTCACCTACTGTACCGCTATCTGCAGTCTGCAGCTCCAGCAAACCCATTGTAAGCTGAGAACCTCGTTTTTGGAGCATGCGTTTTCCCCTTTTCAAGCCCCCATTCTGCATGCGTTTCCAACACTGGCTCACAACCAGGATGTAGCCAGCGTGGTGTGATGTGGCCTTTTGAATGGTTCTAATAAAATCCAACACTTGTTTAAAATGTTCATCATAACAGGGTGTTCTGACCTTTAATTTCCCTGGGAAATCTAAGTAACATTGATGATGATCCAACATGTTGACGCCTCCAGATAATCAGCTCTGTGTTCAAAACCAAACAGCTCATTGATGCGTCTGGGGTTCTGCTGGATGCTAAAGGGTGAAAAAGTCTGGCTTTGTTTATATTAAAGTGATAGTCTGGTCATTAGTGAGGTGATGTGCATTAGTTAGCACTTCATCGGCTGTGACATCGGACACAAGTATAGGAAGAAAAGAGCTGAAATCTTCCTCCAGAAACTGCTTGTTTTATGTAGTTTTTAAGTTTCTTAAAAATATTATATTAGTGCAAAACGTTACATCATCTTTTTGCATGCTACCATTTTTTTAATTTGTATAAATAAAACTAACTGATATATAAGTCAGCTGGTATTTGAGTAAACTTTTGACTCTGTGTCATCATGATATACACACTATGTTATACACTAAAGTAACAGTTTAATATTAGCGTTAGTGTTTATATCAGCTATTTTTATTAGGTCCTTTTGAGGTGTCTTCCTAATGTGCAGTTAACAATAAAAAAAACCTCTGATAATTATTTTATGCAGAGTGAAGGTTAAAATATGGAAATCCTTTTTAATTTTTCTAATATGAACAGAGTTTTTAAATATTTAACAGATTAGTGATTCTCTGCACAGAAATGAGAAAATAAATTATTGTTGGCCCAGTCTCTGCAGTAAACACGACACAAGATTGCATCCTGTTTATAGAAACTCAAAAGCAAATACTAATTAGCACGAGTTAACGAGAAAAAGGAAAAAAATAAAAAGGCAGCGTGTTCTGGGGAGTTATGTGCCGAATCATTTCTTGGCTGACGTAACAACTTCCTGAATTTGTTCACTCAGCAACCGCTTCTGAGCAAGTCCAGCAAATAGTCTGTGCCATAAATGAATGTCTTCTTATCCAACTCTCTGCTGAAAATTTAAAACATTTAAAACTGTCAAAGCAGCCCTTTTAAAACAATGACTTTATATCTAACACAGGAAGACTGCTGCAGCTTTGGTAGAGTCAAGAGATTGATTTTCTTTCTTTCTTTCTTTTTTTTGTTGGACTCTGTGCACTCGTGCCTGTTTGCAAATGAAACTACTTACCAGAAAACAACAAATCACAGACAAGGCTTCTGGTTTCTTTTAGTCCAAGTTAACTAAAGCTGCGCCACTCAGACCAGCACTTGTGAAAATGCAGCACCAGCTTCCCCTCCCTCATCGCCGCTGATGTGCTGTTTGTTTGCCAGCGCTGGTCTCCTTGAACTCCCCCCAGAAACTTCACACAGACAAGACTGCGGCTGTTTACTGTGACGCAGCATGAATATACAGTATCCTAATCTGCATCCCAATGGGGGGAGACACTGAACTGTGAATATTTCAGAGCTTCCCGGAGCGTCGACCCTAAATCTGTGCGGGACGCTAAGCAGTCTGAGGTCACCTCTCTGCTGCAGTCTTCTTCTGCAATCTGCTCCTGTGGCGACGGGTGCAGGGAAGTACCAAAAACCTTAAGCTGCAAGGTTAAGGATGATTTAAAGATTCACTATCAGATGAAGGCCTCCCACTCGGGTAATAGTTTATGACACTGAAGTAAAAATCATCTGAGCGGGAAAAGTTGTGATCAGACTTTCTAAAAGCCCGACCAAAAAAGTAAAAAAAATTTAAAAAAAAGAATGAATTGCATCCATTTGCAAAGCTTTGAGACGTCAAGAATATTTTACGAGGACCAAAGTAGCAGAGAGACTTGCTGCTTTGAGCAGATCTGTGACATCTTTACACCAGCCTGCATCAACCGTTTTTATGGTCCATGGCGGCTGCTGATGTTCCACCTGAATCGGGGGATAAAGGACCCGAGTGTCTAAGGCAGAGATTCTTAACCTATGGGAGCGCCACCTTGAGGGCCACAGGACCGCATTGATTTTGAATAAGGTGCAATACACTTTCTCACCACTAGTAGCGGTAGTGCCCCACTCAGATGTTTAACAACTTTTTTAACACGTAGAAGAAGAAGTTTAGAAACCTGCTGAGAATGGAAATCTATTTTAAATTAAAAGTAGAAGCAAAAATTAAAACAACTCGTCAAAAAAACACCAGTTAGTCACTAATATGAAGTGCAGCCTCTGGTTCTACCATGCAATATTTTAAAAGTTCAAAACATTATCAAATACAGTTGCAGATACAACTATATTTTAGTTTGCACTTTTTCAAATTAATTTTTGTAATTTCCTTTTAAGCATTTTGTCAAAAAGCTGTTGTTACTGTTATTGTTTATCACTAATATGAAAAGCAGCTTCTGGTTCTACCATGCAAAAGTTTAAAAAGGCTTTATTTTCATTTGCACTTTATCAAATTTATTTTTAAAATTTTTTTAATTTGGAACATCTTTATTAAATATTTTTGAATATATTTATTTTATGATCACAATTTTATTTATTGAATTGTCTATTTTTGTTGTTGTTTATCTTAAAAAAATGTTATTTTTGTCTGTGATGGACTTGCGACCTGTCCAGGGTGTACCCCGCCCCTCACACTGTGACTGCTGGATATGGGCACCAGTGACCCACGCGACCCTGAAAGGAAGAAGCGTGTACAGAAAATGGATGGATGGGTTATATTTGTGTTGATAAGCCTGAGTGGTCTGTTGACTGACTGTTGTATTTGTTCAAATAATTGTTATGGGCAGGTTACAATACAAAAAATGTTTGTCATAATCATGTCTAGTGATGATTTGACAGGAGTTTTACTTTTAAAATGTAAGTGTATTTAATTTAGTTATAATACAAATACAATACAAATTAAACCAAGATTTAGAATAATTATATTTTTAAACCAAGATTTAGAATAATTACCATTTTGATCAGTATGGTCACTGGGCCTCTTGTCACTTTATGTTGAACAAATTGGGCCCCGAGGTCAAAAACGTTAAGAACCCCTGTTCTAAGGCTCAACCAGCTGAACGTGACGTCATTTCCTACACATGCGGGTCGCATCAGGACCGTGGAGCGTTCTCACTGAAGTCTGATGGAGGTCGAATTTAAAATATGAAGTGAACGTTTGTGCAAAAAAATAAAAAATAAATCTGAATTTAGCATTAAGACCTGCAGCATGAACGTAGCTTGGTATTTCTTCTTCGCTTCTATCACCATCCTGCAGCTGACCTCACAGACGAGGGTTTGGTGATTAAGGACAGTCAGCTTATGCAGCAGAGTTTAAGCTTTCTGTCTGAATATGAACATTTTAGAGCGTCCTGCTGAACTACTGAGTCAGTCGAAAAAAACATCAGAGTCTCTAGGTTCTTGCTGCACGAGTAGCTGCAGCTGTAATTAATCAATCTCGGTTTATTATCCAAGGACTGGACAAGGGCGATAAAATAAACCCAACTGGTGTTCACGCAGATAAGCTTCTGGGATTGAGTGAGATGCTTCAAGGCTACTGGTTCTTTTCTCCCATTTTCATCTCGTATCACATCATTTCCTGCGAGTCCTCGTTTACCTTGGTACCTCCAAGGCAGTTTGCAGAATAGGTCCTCCTTTATAACATGATGTCTTTACTTTTCTATAATCTTCCCCAAATCGTTGGAGGTTTTAAAAAAAAAAGTCTGCTTTTCTTTTTCTGTTCACGTTGGATTAAACGTGACCCTTTGAAACTCAACCTCGCTGCAAAAACTGAGAAATTCAATTTATTCAGCTTAAAAACACAAATATTTATCTGACATGCAGCGGCTGGCTGACGTCTCCTTTAAATATTTATTCTCTACCTCTGTTGGCCATGGCCGTCTCGATGATGTCCAGCGTGGGGTCGTCCTCGCACAGGTCATAGGGCATGTTCCCATCGGAGTTAACGGCCAGCAGATCCGCACCACTGGGAGATGAGAGGATGAATAATTAAAGAACTTCGTAAAATCCATTTGCAGAGGTTAATAAATTTGTTAATTGTATATTAGCCGATCAAAATGAGTGGACTGCTAAAGAAGACATGTTAAATATGTTTCAGGCAGCTCTAAATGCAGTAAATACACACAAAGAGAGGAAAATAAAGAGAAACTTCAAAAATCATAACGGGCCTGAGACTGGTGAGGCAAAAAATAAAAAAAGCACCAGAAACTGTTTGACAGAAATAACAAAATAAACCTCAAAGGAAGGAATTTCAAATAAAATGAAGCCTTTGAAAGCAGTAATTTAGAAAAATGAATTCAAACATCCTTTAAGTTTGTGTTAACACAAGCCTTAATTACTATGTTAAATTAAACAACTTCCTTTTCCCTCAGTGTTTCTTTGTGTGCATGAGTTTTTACATTATATCTTCATTAAGAGGTAATTACAACCTAATGAAACTCATTTTAATAAATCCTAATTAAAAATGTCAGCGTGAGTCAGACTCAGTCCAGCTATTAGAAGTTAATTCATGTAATGGAGGCTGGAGCTTGTGTTAGGGTTGGTGAATTATTAAAAAGACAGACAATAAGTCACTTTGTGACACTATTCAGTTATCTACATTTCTCATTTTTATTATTTATAACAGGACAAGTGGAAGGCTCAAAATAGTGGCTTTAGTCTGTTTTTGCTTATTAAAAAAACATCAGTCTTGATGTTTTCTTCCTCTCGTTATTAAAGCAAACTTGCAATTTCCTCCCCTGCCAGGACCATTACCACCAATTTTCCTTACTTCATGTGGCATCCGCTGACGCTCTCAGAATACAAAAAAAAAACAAACAAGTAATTTCTCCACGAAATTCAAACAAGTTCAAAACGATTCAAGTTTTACTAAAAAGGAGTCCATTTCTGGACTTAAACAGATTTTATTTATTTTTTATTTTCTGTCAGAATAATAACTAGCCAGTTAATTTCAAATTGCCGTCTGAGTTGGTTGAGGCGGTTACCGCTGGCCACCCCTCCATCTGCTCACAGCTGTGATTAATTAGAAGAGCACAGCGGCTCAATTTATCACATCAACTTCCTGCAGAACCTGTTGATTACCAAACCCTGGTTCTGTCTGATTAAATGGAACGTCTGTGAAAATCGGAAAGGTTCACTCTAAACCGTGATGTGCTGATCTGATCAATAGTGAGATCAATTGTTTAATCGATAACCCTGCTGACCAGAAGCAAGCAGAAACCTGATGCACCTCAGCTCGATGTTAGTATTCTGCAGCAGACCATTCCGACGTATGGTCAAACTAATTAAACTGCTTCATATGTCTTTTATATGAGTCTATTCAGACAGGCGTGTTTCTACCACTTACTGTGAAATGAGTATCTTGACGAGTCCTGCGTGGCCACAGGTGGCAGCGGCGTGCAGCGGCGTCCAGAGCTCATTGTCCTGAGCGTTAACGTTAGCGCCTCGGTCCAGTAGAATCTTCACCATCTCCTCGTAGTTGTCTATACAACACTGTGGACAAACAAGAAATCGGCTCGTCACAATTAATAATAGCTGCATAAAAAGTTACTGCAATAAATTTAAAAAATATATATTTAAGTTTTGAAATTTTAAACTCCAGTCAGCCCAGAGGGAAAGAACAGAACAGCAAGAAAGTAAACAGTGAGAGATGGTGAAGTTTTTATTTAAAAAAAATAGATTTTGTGAAAATATATGAGGTTTCCTCCTGGCTGAACAGAAGTTTCTGTTCTCCCACTGTGAGTATTCGTTTGTGCAGCACTCGAGCTGCAAGCTTCTGTACCTTCATCAGCGCAAGAGAGAGTAATGAAAAAAGGAACTCGTTTGCCTCCAACCGAACAGAAGAATGAGAAGTTCATAAAGAAGCCGAGCCGTGTCTCTTTAAAAAGACTTTTTAGCGGCGTACTGTAGGGGTGTAAGAAAATATCGATACACTGAAATATCGCGATATTTCATTTCCCCGATACTGTATCGATATTCTAAAGCCCTGTATCGATTTTTTATTAAGGTTTGAAATGTCAACTTTCCTGCCAGCCGTTCATTTTTATGTTGTAGTTCAGCCTCCGACCACTAGTTGGCAGCAGTGAGCCAGACATTCGGCTCCTCTACCTCTTGAGGTAGAGGTTTTGGTTTATCATTGTTTTTTTTCCAGTAAGAGGTTTTTATTTAATAGAATTTTTGGACCAAAAATATCGCAATATATCGCCTTGTTTACAGTATCGGGATATATCGGGATATATCGGGATATATCGG